TGTCATTATTGATGTCAATTATGATATAAAGTGTAACTTCCAATATTTAATGTACTCAGCCCCCGTAGTATGGCTACGCATGTTAGTCGCGACGCGCGCGATAAAATTGGAATAAGCAAGCGCTATTGGCTGTCTCAATCAGATCTAGTTTAAATAGCCAATACCGCGCACTTGTTTCAATTTTATCGCGCGTGTCGCGACTATCATGCGTAGCCATGCTACGGGGGCTGATCATAATAATTTAAATATATTTATAAATGAGAAATTCATATAAACTGTAAGAACTATTATCTAATTGTATTTTGTACATATAAGTTTTAAATTCATAATTTTTAATATGAAATTAAACAATTTTATGGACATCTTACAACTATTTCTCATGAAACATGTAGTTTTACTAGAAGCTCCAGTCAAGCGATTTGGAAACCTGGATAAATGAGCCCACCCACTACACCATGTAAGACCGAACCTACAGTACAGAGCTCCGTAAGCGGAAACACCTAATCTTTAGGTCGACCAACCACAACCCTTTACAAATTTACGTAGTACCTTCCCTGAGCTAGATCTGATGAGGTTTGGTAATTAATTTTCAATTGTTTTTGTATCTAATTTACATCTGTGACTTGTAACGTAACTTCTTTGGTGGTCTAAGATATTCTATGGTTGCACCCCCCATTCCAACTGTTAAATTTATATCCTAAGGCCTAAGCCTAAGCAGCAGTTTCTTCCAGGCAATGGAAGAAACTGCTGCTTAGTAATAAGGCCGTCTATTGTACATTAGCTTACTCTGTGATACTTACATTACGGCTCTGTGTTGTCATTGTAATTTTTAATGCGCAATAAAGATAATTTCATTCATTCATTCCTTTTTTATTGATTATAATTTTTTTACACTTTTAATTCCACCTTAGTTTCATTGTAAATAAGTTATAGACTAATGGTAGAATGTACCCAATACAATATCAAAAGCTTCTAAGTTTGTCAAACAGCCGTTATTAAAAAATCTCAGAAACTAATCCACGCACGAAAGGAAACCAAAACCAGACTTGTTGAATGTGTGTATAGGTATGTAGTACATTGTTGAAGCCGCGTCTCAAGCAGAGGCCGTGCGTTCGAATCCGATTTCGCACTTCTGAATTTCTCGAAATTTATGTGCGAAATTTAATTTGAAATTTACCATGAGCTTTTCGGTGAAGGAAAACACGTGTGTAGTCCCCAACCCGCATTGAGTCAGCGTGGCGGACTATGGCCTAAACCCTCGCTTCAAAAGGAGACCTGTATCCAACAGTGGGACGTATAAATGGGTCGATGATGATGAAAGTACTATGTATGTATTTTTAAAGCGCATACTAATTACTAAAACATGAAAATATGTAACCTAATGTAATAAACTGGCATGTGAAATATAAAAAATAACTAATTTTCAATTAAGTGATAATTGAAGTTTATGAATTATATACTGTATTATCATAATGTATGTACTTTGTGTGAATATTTAGAACAATAATTTCGATACCTCTATATTATTGGTTAATTAGCAGAACGTTAATGTAATAATTGCGATCTTACATACGTTATCTTTAAAAAAAAATATCCTACGTTTTAAATTAAAAAAAATCCACTCATCCGCAGAACATAGACCTATGTGCAAGACTGCTTATTCTCAGGACATCGTACATTTCGTTCGTTGTTCTTCGCTATGGATATCAGATTGACCAGTGTTAGATTTTATATTTCCGAAACGAAATACGATATAAAAATTCGGAAAACACCTATCGATTAGCCTTATTTTGAATAACGAGATTATGTATTTATCCTATTTTCGTTGTATAATCTCATCGGACTCTGTTCTTTGGATAAGTCGGAATAGACGTAAAATGTTTTCGTTTTTTTTTTGTTTTATATGAACGTATCTTGTACAGAAAGACCATTTTCACAGGTCTAGACCCTCACAGGTCAAGACATACAGGACGATGTCCGTTTTACAGGAGAAATGGTAGTGGATTTCACATTAATTTTAAAAGAAATCTGCATACTTCATCTATGATTTTATCCTTGTTTAATTGTTAACAACACTTAGACATATTCACTTTTGTGTTTAGAAATCGAGTCCGAATGGGGCAAACATCACTCTGTACCCTGCAGTTCTGGAAACAGGCGGAAGGTATCGTTGTGAGGTCTCAGGAGAGAGGCCGCTCTTCCCCACTGTGTCGGACCACTCCGACATGGTCATTGTGGGTAAGCATAACCTAGAATAATTTTTTTATGATAATAAGTGACGGTACGAACCAGTCGTGCCCTGGTGGTAAGCGACACGCCTGTCCTAACAGTTGCAGTGCAAGTCAGAGCTTTAAACCACAAAATTCTAAGGGGCCCTGCCACTGCGCCCGTCATCTTGAAATATAAGTTGATAAGACGCATGTGCCTGTAATTTCACCAGCACTTACCCTTCAAAACCGGAACGCAGTAATGCTCACATTACTGCTTGGCGGCAGGAATAGGTAAGGTGGCAGTACTTCCCTGAACGAACTTAATATAATTGATGTACACAATAGATTGTTTAAAAATTATCACGAGTGCGATAAAACCTTTGATCAGTTACATAAATTTTAAATACACTAATAAGGCTCGGTTTATATTGCTGCAGCATGGAATGGAAGCGGATAGCTGTAACCATAGCATATTAAACTTTGTGCCGATTGCGCAACGTACAAAGTAGATACAAGCCAACTCGTGTCTACTTATCCACCCGTCTTCCGAAGAATTCTCGCGTATGCTCTAGTACAAAGAGCTTTACTGCTGCCAAACTAAACAACGGAGTCAAAACAATTGCTAAATTATTTATATAAGACAAAAATTACCAACTTAGAACATCAGAACACTCTTAAGACACTAGTTTTTACCGAAAATGTTCCTTTGCAGCTCTCCCAGATCACGGGCCGACCATCACGGGCTCTCGTCTTCGATACCAGATAGGGGACCGGGTGCAGGCTAACTGCACTTCTGGGCGTTCACGACCAGCCACCAGACTGGCGTGGTACATCAACGGTGAGCCGGCACCTCTCGGAGCCACACAGCCCCCGACACACGAACGGCACGAAGATGGCCTGGAGACCACCAGCTTGGCCCTGGACTTCAAAGTCAAGCCCAAGCACTTTAGAAAAGGAGATCTTAAACTAAAAGTAAGTGTTTTTTATTTTCTAGATTCGCTAAGAGGATTACCTGCTGAGTACTCTCAAGTAGAAACTATAAACGGATTTTATATTGTTGAAGTGGATCTAACATGAAATGTCTTGAGAAAACTTAAATTATATTCGTTTTATCTAAATAATAAAACTAGCTTTAAGCTAGTTAGATTAACTAACCAATCATTATTAAAAAACAACAAAACCATGAAGTCCGCAAGTACGAGTATTTATTTTTGGACAATAAAATGCTTATAAAAACAATACCAAAACACTAAGGACTCTAGGGAAAATCGTCTGCTCTACTTTTCATTCATTTTCAGAGCAAAAATGTGAAACAGTTCTGACGGTTTTATTAAAAATTGTACTGCAGATATTCCGCAGATAACAGGAATAATTCTTGAAATTGTGGATAAACAATTTATAAGTTAAAAATGAAATTAATTTTTAACCGACTCCGAAAAAAGAGGAGGATCTCAATTCGACTGTATTTTTTTGTTTGTGTATGTTACGCGATATCTCCGACATTTGTGAATCGATTTCCATGATTATTTTTTTTAAAAGGGAATACCTCAGTCATTGACCTACCTCAGTAGTCTAATTCAAATTTGAAGAAAATATTGAAAATATTCCATTAAGGGATGAATCCGGTTTATTGGATATCACCCACTTTCCGTTAACCGATTTCAATAAAACTTGGCAAATAGACGCAATTCCACAAACTTTTGAAGTCGGTTTTTTTTTGTAATAAAAGTTATAACAGTTATGTATTACAACTACCAGTCTACAATTCAGAAAAAATATATTATCCATTGCTGCGGCGCATCACTAGCGGCCGCTACTCTATGGTTCGCGACGCCCGCGCCGGCCTCCTGTTATCTTATTCTCTCTGCTCTCTAAACATGTGCAACAGTTGCAAATGCAATTTTAATTTTTTATAGAAATACTCACAGTAAAATCAATACAAGTCAATTTTGGAGTCAGGTTTTCATTTTATCCACATCCATCTAAGAATCATCCATTAATCATCGTCGTCACCAACCCTTTATACGTTCCACCGCTGGAACAAGGTATCCTATACGGGGGGAGTTAAGGCCATAGTCCAGGACACAGGCCCAATGTAGTCTCGGGACTTCACACCTATTCCAAAGATCGTGAACCTTCTTCGACAAGTAGGTTTCAGCACAATGTTTTCCGTCATGGTTAGCGAGAGTTATAATAATAATAATGTAATAATAATAATAACTCACACACTCATAGCCCCGCACCAGGGAAACCCTGTATCGCGGTTGCCATGGACACACACATAGACAACCACAAATTACACCCAAACTCTCGAGATAAATAAAAGTAGGCCATACACATATTTCTACCGCCCTGGGAACCGAACCTAGGATGTCTGCGTTTTGAACACGTTTTGCGTGGCAGTCCAGCATGTCTAACCACCACGCTCATTACCTGGTCTCAAACTAAGAAATTCCCTGTATTATGAGTACCAGAGCAACAGAATCAGGGCACTACCCAGAACACCCAGGCAAGAAACAATTTAGAAAAATTAATTTCCCTAAATTTGTCTTACCGGGAGAATTTTATAACTCGTCTAGCGCCCACAGTGTTTTGGCTAATAAACACTCACAAATATGCGTAACTTAGAAATTAAAGTCATAAATAAGTACATGCTGCCACAGGGAATCGAACCATCAACCTCGCAATTTGAAGGCATTCGTTCTCCCATTAACTCTGTCACATAAATTATCTAATAATAAGATATTTAATGTAATTTCGCAGTGCTTAGCAACAATAGCAACGGTCTACTGGCGTAGCAACGAGGAGAGCGTGCAAGGAGACCGATCCAAAGGTTACGCTAGGTCCCGAGAGCTCACTGAAGGAGGATCTAGGGCTGACCGGGTGCAGGCTGCCAACCGACTAAATTCAGCACCAATCCTCACAATCAAATTGTTATTGCTCAGTGCAGTGATCGTGCCCGTCTTACCGACTCTATAATCATAATCACTGAGTGAAGCAGTGAATAAGGAACAATAAAAACTTCCAAGTGACGTAGATTTACGCCGAAATATTGTTAGCGAACTAATTTAACTGTTGAATGTGTGATTTATGTGCCATTGTTCGTTGCGAGTGTTCTGTTTATTTTTATTTAACACCTCATTTTGTCCAAAGATACAGTTGCTGACCAAAGGAAAAGTGTTTACTTTAAAATATAAGAAAGTTGTGTGACACGTCGACAGTAGATATTCATATTGTCTAACACTTATATACATAATTGAAAACTATTGAACTGCACGAAGATGGTAATAAATTGTACTACATTACAAAATGATGCTGTCAGGTACTAAAAAAGTGACAAAATCATTTTCTGGGACATTATAAAATACCATAACCCAGTTCTAGTATATTGAAATTGTTTAATGATATTACCCTTACCCTACCTTACCTTACCTTACCTTCCCTTACGCAAGTTCAGATAAGTCGAATACGTTAACTAATTTTTACTGTTTTTTAAAAGAGAATTTTGTGCTCTGTCTTATTCTATTTAAAACGAATATTAGACCATTTATCACTTAGTATCGCGTTTTAGTTACTGGACGGCAGAATACACGTCAAAGCACTAAACATAAATACGCTCTAGTTTTGCAACATAATTCTGTTAATTACATCCATGGTAATTCTATGAATATAAATGTAATACAATAATATTACCACTGTGTATATAACCATATAGTTGTTTTGTTAATCATTACAATGGGACAGGTCAATTCACAAATACTTTAGATACTTTAAATAACAAGTTAGTTAGACGTTATTAACTTGTTATTTAAATCCTGATTTGACTCGTTTACTTTATCTGTTAACCAATTTTACTTTGTAGTCGAAACCACAATGCATTAGCCATTATTAGTTTATACATTTCGTAATTAAAGTTGCATTGTTGCACTATAACGTTCCGAAACATTAGTTGAGATACAACACACTGGCTTCAACAATCAATAAAATGACTATTATTATTTCCTTAATAGCGGCCACTAATAGGCCTAAGCCGGTAGTGTCAGTTTCGGACAAGATCACTGCTCTAGATTGGTAAACGTGACAAATGAAAATGTCCCTTTTATGTTTTCGAATACCGAACCGATTAGTCAAAAATGACATTACCTATAACTTGAACCCACGTTTAATGTTGCCGTAATTTTTCAAAGTTTTACCGAAAAGCTGCGAAGTTTCTACGCGCAGCCAAAAAAAATCATTTTTGACTTATACATGTCACATGTATAAATCAAAAAACTATTGAAGCCGGTGCGCATTGAATCATTGTGATTTATACAAGTTTTTCTTACCAATGTTACTATAAAAATATTTAATAAATATAATCTGAGATAAAATTTTAAATCATATCAAAAACATTTGGTTTTTGTACGTTTGAAAATGTGTAATATTTTGTAAATTTTAATGTAAGAAAATTGTAAGATAAAACTGTTAATTGAATACCTAGTCACGGTGATCATTAAAAATGAAATTCATACAATCACATACTCAAGTTTCGTTATGAATCAAAAATAAGAAACGGGTGAACTATTTCACTCATCCGTTTTTTGTGAATACTTTCCAAATATTTTACTGCATACAGGGATAAGTAGTATTATAAGATCGTCGGACTAAAGCACTAAGTCAAAATCCAATATCATTCATATTTTCATTTAATACATCTACCGGCAAAAGCACATAAGTGAAATTCATTTGTTACTTCATTAACTTGTAATTTTAATTCTAGCGGCGTCTTTATGAAATTTGTCGCTCTCTTCACATCTTCCAACACTATAAACAACACAAAAAATATATTTGTTTATATGCTTTAGTCCGCCGACCCTAGAATTTAGAACACGTTACGGCATACACTATACTCCTAATTACTTATTATTAAAATTATCTATTGTACGCTCGTGATACTGTCAATTCAATACCGTGTTGAATGCAGGTGTGTGAGGCATTCTGTACCTCGTAAGTAATTGTGGAAAATGTATAATATAATTTTGAGAATATTAGAATCAATTGTACATGCATGTGAATTAATAAATGAAAGTAGTATATTAGTTATTATTTGTTAATACTAAGCATTTAAATCATCTAAATATTAAGCATAGAACAAAATATCTTCTCTTTTTAAAGGAAATTTATTAAAATATATTAAATGGTCAATTAAAAAGACATTCGCTAAAAGTTTTGCATTATTAAGAATTCACTTGCAATGCAAATGACGGCGCTTTCTTTTGGCCGCATACCAAATTTCAAAAGCTAATTTGTTTACGGTAGGGAAAGCTATATCAAGGTATATAACGGGTATAGTACATTGTTTTACTTATCGGAAAGAAGGTTATTGCAAACAAGTGACTCTTTGAAATCGAGTCGCAATAGATACGCTTAAACGAAACGCGAAAAGTTTGAGTTTGCAATATAACCTTAACGCTTGTCTAAAAAACGTTTACTTGAGCAAAACTTGCAGTGAGCAAACAGCGCCTTTCTATATTTAATTGATATGATTTTCATAAATCAAAACGTATTTCTCTCTAGATTTCGTCGGAAAAAACTATCTTTTGAAACTTGCGCTTCGCACAAAATGTCATGGTGAACATAATCCATATCATATCATCCAAATCAATTCAATCACTCGCATGTATGTGTATTATCACACCGAAATAAGTTTTCGCTTTGATTGATGATTTTACGAAAATGTTAGCAATATTTTTTCATAATTTGAACACAAAAAGGCACATACATATTGGATTAGAACACGAATACATTCAGGGACACGATTTTTCTTTTTTCATTAAATATAATATTTAGAAACACTACGAAGTTGCTGTAAACCAATAAAAAAAACAATTTATATTAATTGACGTAAATAAAATTAAGCAAATGTTAATTATATTTATGTTAAAAATGAAATGTTTTTGTTCATTAATTTTTCAATATCAATTAGTTGCTCATTTCATTTCAAACACAACGAAACTTCTCCGGCTGGTAAAAATTAAAAAAGACTTTTCTACACTAGAGAGGCAGCAGTTTTTCGTACGCTTCACCGCTTTGGAATGTACAGCTATTGAAAAAAAACTCACACCCTGCCTCACAAATCAAAAACAACGCACCAAATATACATATGTGTATGACAGTCAAATATACGCCATGGCTTGCGTGAGGAAATTTAAAACGAAGTATGTAGACAGTTTTTGCACTTCCAGAAGAAAGAAGGCAAGAACCCAGTTTGGAAAGTGTCAAGACCACACGTTTGGAATTAATTACCCAGTTTTAGTGGACAGTCAGCTTATAAAAACGATCCGTAAAGAACAAAAACTGCTTAATGAGCTTAACATATCGCTCTACATTATATATTCTTTTCGTTAGCTAATGTAGTGACAGGAACCTGCACTACATTAGTATAGTAGTGTTTGTGGAGTGACGACTTTTCAAAGACCAAACCTCCCGTCACTGAAAACCCTATAATTAAAAACAATTCGATAAAACATTTAATTATTAAATTTTATATGAATGCTAAAAATTTTTTCGCTTCAAAGAAGTCTGAACTGAAGCTATAATTTTTTTATATTTTGCATTTCACCTCCAAATCACCTGATGGAAAATGACGATGAGGTCGATGATAAAGCATGAACACCTAAATAATGCATATTCACTCTCGCCTTGAAAACATAAGCTCACACCCTTGTCCCACAGGAGGAGTACACGGCGGCACGCCACCTTACTCTATCCTGAAAAGGCCTAAGTTATAGCGTACAGCGTTCACTCCATAGACATTCGCCATATAAGTGTGGAAGCGTAATATTTGGAATATCCTCAACATAAAGGTGGAACCCCAGCGTACGTCTAGTCCCCCGATGACGGAAACGAATGGTAATTATATAGGAATTCATTGGCTTTTAAAAAAATAAATTATACTCTTGTCTTCAATAGTACCCATGTAATACAATTAAATATGTTATTTTTAATTCTTCCCAAATAGCTTAGTCAATTCTCTATTCTAGGTCATTGTTGCAAGTGTGCTTGTCAATTCCCAATCTGCTTAAAATACCTTATTTTAAAATACCCTCTCCGGTAACCCGTAAGTTAAACGAAAATAACAGTTCCCTAATGCAGTGATGACCCAGTCTGTTAGTTTCTATTCTCATCTAATAGAGTTGACGTTGGTAAAAAGCTGGCAGCCTGAAATGGAAATGCCCCGGACACGTCTACCGCATGTCTAGTGTGCTGTGGGCCACAGACCACGACGGAGTGGATCCCACCAAACGCCAGACGGAAACGCGGAAAACCTAGAAAAGAATAGCCAGCTAGATGCTCGTAAGAGATCTTGGCGAGTACCGGTGTTAAATCGTGACGAATGGAGAAAGGGAATAGTAACGGCTGAAAACTTAAAACTACTGTTGAAGTTTTCGATAAGTGGTTGATTACTTACTCATTACGCACAAACGCTTAAATGCTCCATTAAGTAACATGGCATCTCTACTTTGGTTTGATAAAGTACTAGATTATTTAGGTCAACGCTTTACAGGTCAACCGTGACCATAGGACCTGTAAAGGGCCCGAAACGTCGGTTTGTTTGAAAAAACAAATATACGCGATTTAAATCCCGAAAAATAGTTTCATTTCCTTTGTGTAACAATCGCGAAAACCTAAGAACTCGATACAAGAGTTTTTTTTTCTACTTTCTCTACTTCTACTTCTTATCGAAACGATGGCAACTGCTATAATGCTTGCCATCGTAGTAAAAGGATTTGCCAATCAGCGTTACGTACTCGCCAATAAATTGTAAATGTCTATTCTGGTGCAGCAAACGAATAGCTTTAAGGTGAAGCCTGAAAATCAGCAATGCTGAGTCTTCATCCTTTTTGTCCACATTACGCTTCTTTTGTTGTTCGGTTATGTTTGTTTCTGTATTTTGTGGACAAATAAATGTCTTTTTATTTTATTTATTCTATTCTAATCAATTGTTGCCCAGGGTGCGTCTGACGTACTGAACAGGAATGGCACGTCGTGCGAAGAAGGTCCTTTCGTGCACCCCACTCGTTACATTTAAAGTTCAATTCATCTAGCTGAATGAATGAATGAATGAAATATTGTTTATTGCACATTAATGTTGTGGAAGTACATACAACGCTACAAACTTAACCACAAATATTTGGTTATATATATATATTCGGTTTATTTAAAAAAACAAATACATATACGCGATTTAAATCTACACAAATATTTGTTTATAAATTTCAATTACAAAGGGAATAAAACTATGTTGCGTATATTTCGCCCGTAAAGAGCCCGAAACGTTCGTTTGTTTGAAAAACTAGTTTCATTACAAATGTGTAGCATTCACAAAAACCAAAAACCTTGATTCAATAACAATTTCACACACAAATGTGGTCATATTATTTTTGCTAACATAAATAATAAATGATAGGAAATCTGAATCTGAATTTGTGAACAACAAAATGCTTATTATAAAAGTGACTAGTGAGTAATAGGAAATACCTACTCTTAATTGAAATAATTTTTCCAAATAGGAAAGC